AAAAAAATATGCTATATTATAGTGACATACAGTAGTAAACTATAATTCATAAAAAGCGTTGTCATTGTAAAATTCATCTAAACTATAATAGGCTTTATCAGAATGTCTCTTAACTTTTTCCTGAAAATATTCAAATAATAGATGACTTTACTTTGAACTATGTAGATAATTAATATTTTTTTTACAATTTGAATATCGATGGATAAGCAAGTATATATTTTTTGGTTGATGTGCAATAAAATGAATAATCTTTATAAAGACTGCTCAAAGTTGAACCATGTCTACTCATTATATCATTCGTTACCAGTAGTTGATCAGTTTGAAATATTTGGCAAATTTCACTCCCATTTATTCAGGTTGTTGTAGGAGCAGAATGTTGAGGTTTAAAATGAGTTAATTATCTGAAAATGTGTTCTCGCCTATTCTTCTCATGAGTATTGTTGACGTTGGAGAAGTGTTTATATACTCGAATGATCCACAAGTTTGATGAAGTTTCTAATCGTATTTAAAATCTATTGTTTCAGCCGATGAACACTCCGGACCCCTCGAACCACCATGCACCAAAGCCAGAACCCTCAGAGGTGCACTAACGATGTCTCAATCAAGTTGAAAATTTCTTATTGGGCTGTAAAACGCTGCGAATGTGTGACATGCATGTTGAATCACATTATAAGTTCATGTTGTTTTTTCCACTCTTTAAGATATACATATCGTAAAAGTGAAATCTTACTTTTTACATCACAGTACTTGAAAAACTTTGCCTTATTATTAGGGGTGACTACCTGAGAGCCTCAGTTCTTATCGTTTAATTAGTTTAGTGATTTTAATTGTATGTACTTTTTTAACTGTGAAAGTATTTATGTATATATGCATTTCTGTCTGATTTTTAAAGTATGAAAATATTGATTAATGTTTACTTGAAAAATTGTGATTTGCGGACTGGGGTTTCAGATAGATCAGCATATTAATATTGCGAAGGGAAGCGAGGAAGGACCCTTCTGCACGGAGGGTGTTTCCCCGTAACAGGTTCAAAATCTTTTTTTTGTATGATTTTATACTAGCACAATATAGTGTAGTATTGTGTATATGGTTGATTTTTATTTCCGAATCGATTCGCCTGAAAATAATTACAAATTTTATATTTTCCAAGCAATTTCAAAGGGGCCAATTTTTTTTTTAACATTTGACATTGAAGACTAGAGATCGTTTTCGATCCTACATGCGTTCAGATGCTAACTGGTGATCACCTTTCCGTGAAGTATCTGTAAATGTGAGAGAATTTGTAAAGTAGGTTTCAAAACATTGAAACAAATTGAGAGATGACGTCAAAATAGATGCGGAGCTTCTGTTGGAACAGGTATTTTAAGGCTGTTCTGTCTATACACGGAGAGATGCTTAGATTCTCTTTAGTAGTTTTGCGNTATATAAAAATATTATACACTGACGAGACATTTGTTCAAAACAACCAGTGAAGCATCAGAAGTGGACTTAAAACAATTGGAGGTGAAGTGAAGTTATGATTAATTTCGTATCTGTAGAATAAAATAGTGATATTTGTGACTAATTTCAGTAACATACAAAATGCTTCGAGTTATTGCGTACTTTCGTTTTTCCTTTTCTCCTGACTTTTTTATTGTTTATTCCAATCGACCAAGATTAACGGTTATCAAAAAAAAAATTAGGGGTAATGGAAAAGGCTGTAACTGTACAGTTTTCGGTTTGCTCACTATATGTGTATCGAGTTTGAAATCACTCTAATAAAATCTACCTGAATGTACATATATATATATAGTTGCGAGGAAAACAATAGTTCGTTTACAAGTACGATGTCCTACGTCGGGCCTAGCAGTCTCTTTCCATACAAAATTTTTATATTCATCATTTTAAAACTTTTTTTTTCAGTCTGAAATATTTTTTTATTGCTAGAATTAGTTTCATTTTTATCCTTCTGACAAATCTTCAACAAGTTTTTGTGTGAAAGGATGTACTTATGGACTTTTTCCATAAAATTGACATTAGTTTCTCTCTTGATGATTTTTTTTTACAAGCTAATTCTTTTCAAAGTCCTAGTCGATTGGAACTCGGCAATATTTTGAACATTCCAACCAAATATTCAGTTAGCACAAAACAATGTTGCAAACAAAGTAACAAAACAGTTGAGGTGTACTATTTGCTCAGTATATTTTTGTAAAAATCACTTTTTTAAGCAATTTGTAAATTGTAGAAAATGGTTCACCGACTGAATTTCATGATATCGACGTAAATTCAAACCATTTGAAAAAAACTAAACGAAAGTACGCGGTAGTCCCACAAAAAACAATAGAAGAGCATATGAAATTGTAGGGCTATTGGACTTCCACAAAATTTTGAAATAAATATCTTGGAATTTGAATTCTTTTAATTTTTTTTTTTCAAATTTCAGCGGAAACTGAACACATTCGGAGAAAGTACGTAATTTCATAGACCTAGACAAGGTGGATGTTTTTGCATCCTCCGATAATGCAGGTTCAAAGCCAGTGTTGTGAAGGAGCTACCTTAGCAGAAGTGCAGATTGGCCTCATAATACTAATCAGAGAATTGTCGTATTCATAAATTTTATCCATGAATAAAATAAGTGATTGGTAATTTTCATATATATTCCTCGAATGACTAACGTTTCGATAACTAATTACTTTTCTTATCAGTAGTCGGTGGGTTATGCTTGAAGACAGGCAGTTGCATTGCCAATTGCATATACAATTGTGAAGATTCCTGCACTGACGCCTGTTGGATATAATTCAACGCCGTTCGTGGAATTAGTCAGGGGAGTAGTTGTTTTCTGATAGGCCTCAGTCCATTCAACATACTGCGTAGGTAGGTATATTGGAGACTGGCTTGAACGTTTGAAGTTCATTTCTATAGATTTGTTTACTGCCTGTCTTCAAGCTAACCCACTAACTAATGAAGGTTTTCTTCCTTATTCAGAGGAATCGGGCAAATTTCGGATATGCAGTTGGTTACTACCTTGTCCACTAGATGGAGTGACATTTTGTTCGCTCCAACTTAGGAAGAGGAATGAAATACTCTGAAAGAATTTCGATTTTCAATTATGGAATATCATTGACTTTAGGTCAATGATGGCCACTATCTTGCACTGACGAGTGGCTAATAAGCCCTAAACCAGTCTGCAAGTGTGCCCGTTCCAAAATTGAAGGTCGACTCTTTCAGTTGTATTGCCAATTGTATATGCAGGAAATTTTCTGTGAAGATTCCTGCACTGACGCCAGTCGGATATAATCCGACGCCTTTCGTGGTATTAGCCAGGGGAGTAGTCGTTTTCTGATAGGCGTCAGTCCATTCAACCTACTGTGTAGGCATATCTGAGATAGGCTTGAACGTTTGAAGTTCATTTCTTTAGATTTAATTCGTTTTCAAACCCAAAACAAAATAATTCGTTTTCAAACCCAAAACAAAAGTTTTGCACCTTTGAAGTGGAAATGCGGAGATTCCGTTTCTTGTGGAGACCAAGTTTCGTTACAATTGTGTTCACAACAATGTTGCAGTGCCCCACTTTGGGCCCCCAGAATTTCAATTAGTTTTACGTGGAAATGCAATAGTATGTATCGAATAAGCCACCTATTTTTTGAGAAATGCTATTATTAAACAAAAAACTTTTCATATTCAATAAAATATTTATTTGTGATTATACTGATTTCTTTGGTTCAAACATTGCTCGTTCATATTTTAAATACAAAATTATACAAATAATACCAGTCGTTGAGATACAACAAAAAACCAAAACTATACAACTTCCTTTTGTCTATTCTTGATTCTTATCAAGAAAATTTTCTAAATATGTACATAACTTCTGTTCAGCAATGTTGGATATGACAGATTTGACGACTGGTCCATCAAATACTAAATATTTAGTATAAAAAAACTTTGATACATCTCTTGCATTGTATCATATATAACTTGAGTACTGGGACTTAATGGCACTTATGGTAACAATAAATATTGTGAAAGACTTCTTTCGATTCTCGAAAAGCATCCATGAATTCTTTCACAAATATAAAAATATAACAGGATTATAAATATATATCTTTGACCAACCACGGGAGATCAGAATTGATTTTAGAAAAGAGCCACTTTTAATACGTTCATGCTCTTTCTAAAACAAATTCTGCAACCAGTCGATTGTTAACTCTGATAAATGAATATGTACATTCGAAAAACTTATCTAGTTTGATTTTGGTTTCTTGGGAGGCTTAGGGGGTGGTAAGGGCGGCAAGTTCTTTTCCTCGACGTCTACGTCAGCAATTTCTATCGTCTTGACTTGTAAAGAAGTCCTCAAAGTGGAGTTCCGCTGAGAAAATAGAAAACTATAGTTGTCATTGGTAGGTATGATGTTATCGCGGTGCTTCAAAGGGAGAGGAGGTGGTCCTGCATCCTCTTCGCTGATGCTTGAATCAGTCGTGCCTGCAAGTTCATTCGGATGAGTTTCAAATGCCAACATAAGAATGGAGCCGTTACACAGGTTACTGAAGCAGTAATAGGTTGAAGCGTGTATACAGGCAAATCTTTGCTACCACAAAATTTCTAAATTTATTATCTGCATACAGTGGCCCAGTCTTATTAAATAGTTTCAGAAAGTTTATTCTTCAAAGCCTATTTCACCTCCCCTCAAACACTTTTCAGTTTGAAAACCAACTTTTTTCTAATAAAAAACTTTATTCATTGACGGAACAGCTTTTTTCCGAAACGTCACTAGTATATAAACTAAAAATGTAGGGTTAGGTTAGTTTAGGTCAAAAGTCAGCGGGTCTATTCGACCCTCCACCGCAACCCGCAATGGTTTATTGTGGCTCACTTCTATTCACACGCGACCAAATAAAGAGTAGTCTTTCAGGTCAGTTGGTAAGAGTACGGCTCTGCCGAACTCTATAAACCTGATTCGGTCCTCAGCGGGGCATGCACAAAGTATGAAAATATTATTTAATCGAGTTTTTTATTAGAAAAAGTCGATTATTAAACTGAAAAGTTCCAAAGAAGGTGAAATAAGTTTTGAAGGTGATGTGATGAATAAATATTGGTGGTTCTATAATTTGAATCGTGCAAAAAGAAGGCTGAAAGTTTCGGAACTTTGGAGGACTGTAACTCTAGAAATAAATAAGAGCACCGATTTTTTCTTCTAGATTCATAATCTACACATAAAATCTTTTAAAAAATAGGCGGATGCAGCCTATCCGAAATTTTACCAATTTTTTTCATACTGGTAGGCAATCGTTAGTACAATAAGTAGAGAGGCGATGACATTTCCCCTATACCATTGACAGAAGACTCAATTTCACGAATATCAATAATAAAAGAGTTTCACGAAGGCAGCCCGTGGCAAAGCCAAGACAATTAGATGAAACTAAAGCTCAAAGACAAAACATTCGTGAATCAACGTAAAACAGCAATATTTTGACTCGCCATATCATCAGTGGTGCTAGTCTGAATCATGAATATTCTACTGGGTTCCACTGACCCAAGGACAGGCCTAAAAGAGACAATAGACCCCAATCACTAAAACGCCATCTATGAGATCGACATTAGACTCAATCCATGAATGTCAATAATAAACAGGGCTCCTCAAAGCAGTTCGTTACAAAGGCAAGCTTTGACATCAACTACCAAACGAGATGCGTCCTCTGTTTACTTCAAGGCAATTAGATGAAACCAGAGCCCAAAGACGAATCATCCATAATCCAACTCCAGACAGCATTTAGGGTCCTTCACTAGTTCTACGGTGCACCACGAATGCATTGCTGGACTGTTATCCCTAAAGGACAGCGATGTCTGGTGTTGGATTGGGAATGTTTTGTCTTTGGGCTTTGGTTTCATCTTGTTGCCTTGCAGTGAAAGACAGGACGAATCTCATTCAGCGGTCGATGTCGAAACTTGGCTTTGCAATAAATCACCTCGTTTATCGTTGAGATTTGTAGATTGAGTCTTCTGTCAATCCTATATGCTCAAGAGTAACTAAATTGCAGAATCAGTGCGACGTGATGAAACATGGCTTAATGGATATGACACCGAATCTAAGGGTCAATCTTCCCAGTGGAGGCAATCTGGCTCAACAAGTGCGACAAACTTGAAAGTTTGTGTTCTTCAATTTCAATGGCATAATACATCATGAATTTTCACCACAAGTTCAAACGATCAACGCCATTTGCGTGAAACAATCCGAAAAAACGCCCGGAAGTGTATCACTGAAAAAATATTTCATAAATTATCAGTTCAAAACATTTATGCTTATCAACTCAATTA